GGGGTTTTTTTTCAAGGCATATTTTTATATTAGGACAAAATTATACCAGAGTTGGAAATCAAGTCCTTGAAATGCCCTTTATTGACCACAGACAAAACTAGATGGTATTCCTTCTAGTTTATAAATATTTCCTTAAAGAGACACAAATGAACTTTTTATGTTGACTGCTATAATGGTGATATGTAATTTCAGACTACAGATGTGGATGTGTCCAAGACTGAATTGTTGAGGAGGCCAAAAGACACTACTGGCATGTTTAGTCACTAGTACCCAGCTATAACTCTGGGGACAAGGCAATTTTTACTGAAGGTATGTGACCTCTCCTGCTGCTCCATCTTTGGCTACCTTACGTCTGTAGGATTCTATACACTTCACTAACTAGTAGTTAAAGTAACTTTCTGTGTATGTACAATTTCCAACCTCAAATGCTGCAATTAGTAATATGAGTTGTAAATTATTATAATTTTGTGCAAAAAGTAGTGGAAAAAAATATGTCCTAAAAAACAAAATTGCATGCAGTTGACCCTTGAACAACACAGGTTTGAATGGTGCAGTCCACTTATGTGCAGATGTTTTTATTCTTAATTTAAAAAAAATTGCTGTTTGGTTTTGAGAAGCAAAAAGGTGTGCTTCACACAGCAGGGGAGAGGGGCAGAAAAAGAGAGGGGGAGACAAAGAAGAATCTGAAGTAGGCTCAGCACTGTCAATGTGGGGCTTTCCAGAATTTCAGCACAGGCCTGAGATCATGATGACCTGAGGCAGTCTGATGCTCAAATGACTGAACACCCAAGTTGCCCCACAGATTTTTAAAAATAAATACAGTATAGTGAGGGTAAATGTGTGTCTCTTATGATTTTCTTGACGTTTTCTCTTAATGCGTTCACTTGTTTTATTGTGGGAAGGAGAATATGAGTATAGGCAGCCTGGGTGGCTTCAGTCATTTTGAAACATCAGGCTTTAACTCAGGCTCTCCCAATAATGATTTGAGCCCAGCGTCCTTCCTCCTGACCCAACTCAGAGCCTGGAGCCTTCTTAGGATTGCAGCAATGCTCCCTCTCTCTATGCCTCTCCCGTTCATCCTCTGTCTTTCTCTCTCCAAAAATAAATAAACAATTAAAAATTTTGCCTTTATATTGTTGAGTAAAAAAATTGCTGTGGCTGGCAAAAGGGTTGTTACCTGCTTTTTTTCCTCTAGGATTTTTGATGGTTTTCCCTGTCTCACATTTAAGGTCTTTCATCCATTTGAGTTTATTTTTTGGCCAATTGGTGGTATAAGAAAGTGGTCTAATTTCATTTCTTCTTCATGTTGCTGTTGTCAGTTCTCCCAGCACCATTGTTAGAGAGACTGTCTTTTTCCCATTACTCTTTAAAAAATGTTTTTTTAAGACTATAGCATAGAAGTGCCTGGGTGGCTCAGTCGGTTAGGTGTCGACTTCAGCTCAGGTCATGATCTCTCACAGTTCATGAGTTCGAGTCCTGTGTCAGGCTCTGTGCTGACAGCTCCAGAACTGCCCGGTCTGTGTCTCCCTACTCCTCTGCCCCTCCTCTATTTCACACACTCTCTCTCTTTCTCTCAAAAATAAACATTTAAAAAAAGAATATAGAATAAAATACATATAACATCACAGTATATGTGTTGACTATGTTACCAGCTTCGATCAACTATTAACCTGAGCCGAAGTCAGATGCTTAACTGATTGAGCCACCCAGGTGTCCCAACCCTCAAAAAGTAGGTTTTGAGGGAATATACCTCAATGTAATAGAAGCCATATATAGCATACCCACAACTAATATCATTCTCAGTGGGGAAACAGCTGAGAGCTTTTCCTCCATGGTTAAGGGTAAGATAGGGAGGGGGCACCTGGGTGGCTCAGTCAGCTAAGCATCTGACTTTGGCTCAGGTCATGATCTCATGGTTCATGAGTTCAAGCCCCATGTCTGGTTCTGTGCTGATAGCTCACAGCCTGAAGCCTGCTTCAGATTCTTTGTCTCTCTCTCTCTCTCTTTCTGCCCCTCCCCCACCCATGCTCACTCTCTCTCTCTGTCTCTGGCTCTCTCTCAAAAATAAATAAAACACTAAAAAATAAAAAAAAAATACAAAAAGAACAAGGTAGTGAGGTCTACTTTCACCAGTTATTTAACATAGTACTGGAAGTCCTAGCCTAAGCAATCAGACAACAAAAAAGAAATAAAAGTCATCCAAATTGGTAAGGAAAAAGTTAAACTTTCACTATTTTCAGATGACATGATACTCTATGTAGAAAACCCAAGGACTCCGCCAAAAAATTGCTAGAACTGATGCACAAATTCAGTAAAGTTGCAGGATATAATATCAACAACATACAGAAATCTGTTGCATTTCTATACTCCAATAATGAAACAGCAGAAAGAGAAATAAAGAAATTGATCCCATTTACAATCTCACCAAAAATCATAAGATACTTAGGATTAAACCTAACTGAAGAGGTAAAAGATCTGTACTCTGAAAACTATAAAATACTGATGAAGGAAATTGAAGATGACACAAAAAAATGGAAAAACATTTCATGCTTGTGGATGGGAAGAACAAATATTGTTAAAATGTCTATACTACCCAAAACAATCTACACATTTAATGCAATCCCTATCAAAATACCACTAGCATTTTTCACAGAGCTAGAATAAACAATCCTAAAATTTGTATGTAACTATGAAAGACTCTGAATAGCCAAAGCAGTCTTGAAAAAGAAAAGCAAAGCTGGAAGCATCAATTTCAGACTGATATTACAAAGCTATAGCAATCAAGACAGTATGGTACCGGCACAAAAACAAACACATAGATCAACGGAGCAGAATAGAAAATCCAGAAATGGAACCACAACTATATGGTCAACCAATCTTCGACAAAGCGGGAAAGAATATCCAATGAAAAAAAGACAGTCTCTTCAACAAATGGTGTTGGGTAAAGTGGACAGCAACTTGCAAAAGAATGAAACTGGACCACTTTCTTATACCATACACAAAAATAAATTCAAAATGGATGAAAGACCTAAATGTGAGACAGGAAATCATCAACATCCTAGGGGAGAACACAGGCTTCTTTGACATCATCTGTAATAACTTCTTACTAGATAGGTCTTCTGAGGCAAGGGAAACAAAAGCAAAAATAAACTATTGGGACTTCACCAAGGTAAACATGTTGTACAAAGTGACGGAAACAATCAACAAAACCAAAAGACAACCTTTGTACTGGGAGAAGATATTTGTAAATGACTTCTCTGATAAAGGGTTAGTATCAAAATCCATAAAGAACATATCAAACTCAACACCCAACAAACAAATAATCCCAAATGGGCAGAAGATATGAATGGACATTTTTCCAAAGAAAACATCCAAATGACTAACTGACACATGAAAAGATGCTCAACATCACTCATTATCAGGGAAATACAAATCAAAACCATGATGAGCTACCATCTCACACCTGTCAGAATGGCTAAAATTAGCAACATAAGAAACAATAGGTGTTGCCAAGGATGCAGAGAATGGGGAACCCTCTTGCACTGTTGCTGGGAATGCAAATTGATGCAGCCACTCTGGAAAACAGTATGGAGGATACTCAGAAAGTTAAAAGTAGAATTACCCTATGATCCAGCAATTGCACTACTAGGTATTTACTCAAAGTATACAAAAATCCTGATTCAAATGGGTTCCAGCACCACAGTTTTTACAGCAGCACTATCAACAATAGCCAAATTATGGAAAGAGCCCAAATGTCCATTGACTGATGAATGGATAAAGAAGAGGTGCTGTATATGTGTGTGTATTTACACACACAAACACATACATAGTGGGATATTACTCAGCCATCAAAAAGAATGAAATCTTGCCATTTGCAATGATGTGGATGGAGCTAGAGAGTATTATGCTAAGTGAAATAAGTCAGAGAAAAACAAATACCATATGATTTCACTCATATGTGGGATTTAAGAAACAAAACAGATGAACATAAAAAAAGAGACGAGGGGAAAAAAAAGAGAGAGGCAAACCAAGAAACAGACTTGTAACTATAGAGAACAAACTGAAGGCTGCTGGAGGGAGGTGGGTGGAAGATGGGCTAAATGGGTGATGGGTATTAAGGAGGGCACTTGTGCTGAGCACCGGGTGTTGTGTTTGTAAGTGATGAATCACTATATCCTACACCTGAAACTAATATTGCACTGTATGTTAACTAACGAGACTTTAAATACAAACTTGAAAAAGAAAGAAAAGCAAAGAATTCTATGTGTTTCAATCGTGAATATGAATGTGTTTTGAGGATTCTTTCTTTTGGATTTTCTATGCCATCACACTAAGTTCCACTTGCAAGGACATTCACGAATAAAGCATTTGTTCCATTTCCAGTGTTGTATTTTAATCTGAAAATTGTTTGATAGAACTGTTTTCTGTCTTGAGGCAGTTTCTGAGCTACCTGAACTATGGTGTGGGTTTTGTTCATCAAAGATAATGGTGAGACCAAATCAACGCTAACCAAATCGATTTTGCTTATAACCTTGGGCATAGTAAAATACCTGCTAACAAAGGGGCAAGGTATTATTCCTTTAAAGTCTTTCATTTAAGAATATGCAATCCTAGGGGCGCCTGGGTGGCGCAGTCGGTTAAGTGTCCGACTTCAGCCAGGTCAAGATCTCGCGGTTCGTGAGTTTGAGCCCCGCGTCGGGCTCTGGGCTGATGGCTCAGAGCCTGGAGCCTGTTTCTGATTCTGTGTCTCCCTCTCTCTCTGCTCCTCCCCCGTTCATGCTCTGTCTCTCTCTGTCCCAAAAAATAAATAAATGTTGAAAAAAAAAATTTAAAAAAAAGAATATGCAATCCTTTCTGTTCAGAAAAACGAGAGGTGGCCTTTAAAAGCCTTTGGCACAAACACATGATAGATAATACATCTGCCAGTCATGTTAAAGCTATGTAATAGGACTTGATAAAACCATATTTGAAAAATCTGCTCTGACACTTTAACTTTTCAGATTAGAAAGAGAGTATTTCTCCAAAAACAAGAAACTAAATGAAGAGATCGAGGAACAGAAGAAAGCAATTATAGACCTTTCAAAGAGACTCCAGTATAATGAAAAAAGTTACAGTGAATTACAGGAAGAACTTGTAATGGTAAGGATAAAAAAGAAAACCCTATGGCAATTACTTTATTGGGTCAAATCTGATGTTTAACAGGTTTTTTCCCCTCACTACATGCCATGAGATAATAGTATGAAAGTAATTTTAGGACATTGATATAAAATTTTGAAACCAGAGATGCTGATTACAACAAAGATATATGTAAGAATCATCTCTTCTTTAGAAAAATTGGGAAAACTAGTCAAATTAGTGAAAACTGAATTGTAGAATATTTTAGAATTTATTCAGGGGTTTACCTTTTTCTTGCTTTTTTTTTTTTTTTCGGTGCATAGAACAATGATACCAAGATGAGAGGGGGTCAGGGTTTATAATCAATAAATCTAATGATTTCAAAGACTCCCTTTTGTAGTCATTTTGTACCTGATCATTTTGTTTCCATTCCCCAATAATCAAGCTTTCACACCATCACCACATTTGTCTTCCTAAGATATTGATCTGATCTTGTCACCCTCACTTTATTAAAAAACCATCAATGTCTGCCTGTTGTTTTCAGAATGAAGTTCAGCTTCTTGTCATACAATCTAAGGCCCTGGCTTTGTGACTCCGTGTTAACTCTTTCAGCTTCTTCTCTTTCCATTAGCCCTCTTATCTTGCTTCAGCCACATTAGCGTGCTCTTGGCTTCCTAAACACATTGTATATTTTTGTATCTTCCTGCTTTTTAAGGCTGTTCATTTTTTGGACCCACATTGACTGAACTGCGTCTTTTTTTTTTCTTTAGTAAACTCCTATGTATCCTGTAATGCCCTATTTTTTTTTTCCTTTAGTAAACTCCTATGTAACCTTTAATGCCCTATTTTTTTCCCCTTTAGTAAACTCCTATGTATCCTGTAATGCCCTGTTCTGACATCTTGCAATCTGTGATGCCTTCCATGATTCCATCTTTCCTCACTCTCCCATCCTACTAGTCAGAATTTTTCCTTTTCCCAACTTTGTTTTTCCTTAGTACTTAGTTTAGCATCTTCACCACAGTTTAGCATAACACTCACCCAAATCTGGTACGTGTATCTCTCCCATGAGATTGTGAATGCATTGAGGTTAACAATTCATTTTATATACCAAGATTCCACCATAGTGCGTGCTTCCATAAACATTTATTGGATGCATTTATTTGGGTGATGCAGCACACTGCTATTCTGCATTTGCTGGGAATCCCAAGGGCATAAAATCTAGAGTGATACCTTGTTTCTTCTTTGTCTTGTCCCCACATGTATACCTTCTGCAGATACTGGCTACTTCACTTTATAAACTCTTAGTGATATCCATTATTGAAGAAAATGAATGGGTTTTTTTTTCCCCGTGTCAAAAAAGATGGAGACTCTGGGTTATGTTAAGAAGTAGTGGCCTAATCAGTGCTGCTCAGATAGAAAGGTGGTGTTGGGATAAAAGTTATACTCTGTCACTTTCAAATTATTTAATGTTTTGTACAGTCTTCATTCAACCCAAGATATTCAATGTGTTCTGATTCAGGGACTGATATTATTTTTTTGCTGTTTGGTTAAATTAGTAGTTTGAGTACTTTGGATGTGGATTTTAGATAAGTTTAGAGCTCTCTGTGTAGCATACTTTACTGTCTGTTCACTCTTATGTGCTACCCTAAATTTCATGGGCTATCCTACCTCTTAGCTCCTGGTTCAGGAGGTGAATCAGTGGTGGAGAAAAACATGTGAGAGCCATCGAGCTGAGTCATGGATTTGGGCTTCTTGCTTAGGGACCCTGTTTTCAGTAGTTTGGAAAGTTAGCCAGTTATGACTAAGAATGTAACAGGGAAGATAGTCACAAACATAAGTTGCATGAATTTTCCTAATTTAGCCTTCTAGCACTCCAGTGACAAGGTGCAAAATAAAAGCAGCCTGGGTTTTTCACCATAGAGGATACTAGTGCTTTGTGATTAAAAAATTTTACTTGGGGGGTGCCTGGGTGGCTCAGTCGGTTAAGCGCCAACTTCGGCTTAGGTTGTGATCTCATGGCTCGTGAGTTTGAGCCCCACATCGGGCTCTGTGCTGACAGCTCAGAGCCTGGAGCTTGTTTCAGATTGTGTCTCCCTCTCTCTCTCTCTTTGACCCTTCCTTTGCTTTGTTTCTGTCTCTGTCTGTCTCTTTCTCTCAAAAATAAATAAACATAAAAGAATTAAAAAATATTAAAATAATTTTTTTACTTGGTGCCAACAAGTTTTTATTTTTCAGCTTTGCAGTGTGGCACATGATCTGAAGTAAGGCACGTTGCAGCCTTGTTTGGGTCTACTTGCTTGTTTGGGTCTCATCCTGTAAAGCACTATTGTTCTGATCATAGCGTGAAAGATTGCAGGCTGATTGTTTCTTCAAAGCTTAATGGATTACTAAATGTTGTTGCTCTGTGAATAATAGTCCTTGCTGCAGAGCTTATGGGATGTTCAGAAAACTTATTCGGGTTGTACCTAAGTGATCTCCAGTTATATGGTTCAGCCTGACTATTCGTACTTTCCTCTCTTTTCTCATTTCTCTTAAATCCATAGCTTTGTGTCATATTTTTCTTCCATCTTTCTGTTTCTTTTGCTCCTTTTGTTGCTTTTCTTTCCCTTCCTCGTAATGAGCTTTCTGACTTGTTCTGTTTTCTGATTAGAACTATTGTTCTCGGGGCGCCTGGGTGGCTCAGTGGATTAAGTGTCCGACTTTGGCTCAGGTCATGATCTCGCGATCAGTGAGTTCAAGCTCCGCGTCAGGCTCTGTGCTAACAGCTCAGAGCCTGGAGCCT